GTCCTAAAGTAAAAAATTGAGTTAATTTCATTTCTGTCCATACTTGCTTTTGAGCTCTGACTGGAATATAATGCTGTTTAGAGGAATAAATTTCTTTGACAAAGCAGTAAATCTTTCTAATATATAGACCCAGAAAACTTTATTTGAATTTTTCAGAAAACGTTAATTTTATGCTTAAAAAAAAAAATGAGTATTCGGAATACAGTCAAAACTTAAGTATAGATGGAGATGGTGAATAAATAAAATATAATAGGATTTTTCAGGGTATTTATTTTCATTAATTCAAATCTCAAACAAAGAATACTCAAAGTGAGGTCATAGTTTTCAAATGTTTAAAGGATTTTTCGTTGTCAATAAAAATATACTAAATAACACCAAACTTTTTTAAGTCGTTTAGTTGCTAACATGAAAGAGAGAAAAATGCCTACCGTCACACAGAATGGCCGATTAAAAAAATAAATAGTTAATACTAATAATACCAATTTTCGAAATAAAAAAAGTGAACGCACAGCCCTAAAATGGCGTCCAAACATGTAGGACTTTAGTTAGTTTTTTGGGTAATAGTTTAGATGATGCCCGCAGCCTTTTGGGATGGGGTCGGCGCGCCCCCACTCCACCCCAAATCATCTAAATTATTACCGTGAAAAATAATTTCCTTTATTTTGTTCGGAAATTGGACCATTTCATAAAAAAATAGGAAATTTTAGTATTGAATGCATTATTCTTTCTGCACAAAGAAAGATGGAAAGGGCGAAATTAAAAGTTCTTCTAGGTAACTAGAATGATTCTGAGTATTTGACTTCTCTAAAGCTCTTGATTTAGTAGACCACATCTTCCTAACCAAACTGCAAAATATCTCCTCTAGTGCCGTTAATTGGTTCCAATCCTTCCTTACCGGTCGCTCTCAGTATGTTGTAATCGCTAATAGCCCTCCATCGGAATTTCTACCCTTGTAGAGGTGTCGCACAAGGCTTTCCTTTAACATCAACCCTTTTTTCCATTTATATAAATGACCTCCCATCCTCTATGCTGCACTGTCAAGAAGAAGAAAGTCATCTTGATCGGACTCCCCTCACTCCTCAATTCCTTCCTGGTATCCTCCAATCTTCTCCTGAACAACTCATCTATCTTATTCGACACTACCATTAAAACGAAGGTGTTACTTTTTATCAAACTCTCTTCTGGGAACTAATTAATTACTAATTAGTATTAATTAAGAAGCATCTTGAAATATTCTGTTCATCTGTCTACTATATATTCGTTAAGCCATATAGTGGATATTGATCCTTGTTTTCTTTTTCCGAGATTTTGACACTTCCTTTCTCGTTCGCTAAATGTATTTTTTTCATTTTTTGGGTTCAATTTCGCGTTTTCCCTCATTTTGAGACCAAATACTAACAATCCGTTCCGGTTACCTACAACTTATAACTTCGCCCTTTCCATTTTTCTTTGTGGAGAGAGAATAATGCATTCAATATTAAAATTACCTATTTTTTTATGATATGGTCCAATTTCTGAACAAAATAAAGGATATAAAAATTAACTTTTTTAATTAGTGATATATGAGTTTTACTAAACAACCAGTTAACTACTCGTTATATGTAGTTCAGATTAGGTATATATTATTTTAGTTTATAAAGCAGGTATTAACAAGTGTGTCGACTCCAGCTGGTTGAAGAACCCGTCTTCTCTACCTTCAACCAGCTGGAGTCGACACTACGACGCACCAAAGGAAACAAAGCGTCTGGACTGGATGAGATTCCGTACGTACTGCTGAAGATGCTCCCTAGGAAGGGTAAAGCCTTTCTACTGAACATATTCAACTCATGTCTTCGAATCTCATACTTTCCTACCGCATGGAAACAAGCGATCGTTGTACCGTTACTCAAGCCGGCGAAGAACGGAGACTCAGCTGAGCACTATCGTCCGATCAGCCTCCTCTCGCACATCAGCAAGATATTCGAGAGGCTAATCCACCATCAGCTTATGAAGCACTGCTGGAAAGAGAGCATCATACCACCAGAGCAGACTGGTTTCCAGAGAGGGGTCGCGTGTGAACACCACCTAGCTAAACTTCAGGCCCACACAATAGATAAAATGAGTCTCAACAGAGCTACGGCGCTCATCTCTTTGGGCTGCAGCCAGGCCTTTGACTGCGTGTCACACACGCATTTACTTCGCCGTCTGGAAGAGTTCAGGTTTCCTACCACTCTATGCCGAATGATCCGAAGCTACCTCAGCGGAAGATCTCTCGTCGTACGAGTTGGTACAGACTACTCAAACCCAGTCGATACCACCTGCGGAGTACCTCAAGGGTCTGTGTTGGGGCCAATACTGTTCGTCGTTTTCACGGCGCCAGTGGTGGCACTCAAGCATCCAAAGGCGGTGGTAGCAGCCTATGCGGACGACATTGGCATATATGCTTCCAGCATTAACGCGGAGACTGCACTCACTCTGGCACAGAATGCTTCAGCCACAATTGTTGAAGAGCTAGAAGAGATCGGTATCAGAGTGAATCCTGCGAAGACTGATGCTATTGTCATGTCGTTTCAGAAGGGAAAGAAGCATCTACCCACACAATTCACCGTTGGAGGAGCTTATCATAAAATCTCTACCTCAATTGTCTACCTCGGCGTCACGCTAGATAGACATTTGACCTTCTCCAATCACGTTAGGCAGAGGATCAAGCTGGCACGAAAGAAGTCACACCGGCTCTACCACCTACTGACGTCGCCGCAGCTCTCGCTGAGACTCAAGCTCCAAATTTATAAAGCTATTATAAGACCAACAATGCTCCACGGGGCCCCTCTCCTGCGAAATCTATATAAATCTACGCTTACGAGTCTACAGGGCTTCCAGAACTTTATCCTTCGGCGAATTGTCCGTGGCACCACCTTACAAAGAGCTAAGAATCAAACAATACGCGAGGAGCTCCAGCTCCCCTCGGTACCTGAGTTCATAGGCCGGAGGCACATCAAATTTTTTGATGGGCTGAAGGCCTGTGCAAACCCACTGTTCAATGAGATCTCACCACCACCCAGACCTGGGAGGTAGCAAGGTAAACTCCCTTTGGTGGACATACTCGCCGAAGGATGTGGTCTGGTCTCTGCGGTCCAAACTCATTAATTTGTATGTATTGTAAATAATAAAAAATTAGCAGAACGGTCCTTCCCCGTTCAATGTCAAAGTCACAAGGCCTTCTGCCACATATGTAACCCTTAGCTGTCCCCAATCCTTAAAATGCCCTTGGGCAGTGGAAGGAATTTATTACATGTATATATTGTATTATTGTATACTATATATGTAATTGTTTCAATAAACATTTTGGAGGGTAAGAAAAACGAAAACAAAAAAACAGGTATTAACATGTTTCATTCCAGGGGAAGTATATACAATTTAAATTACCTCTAAGAATCTGCAAATAAACAAAATAAAGTCTTAAATTGCAAATGTTAAATAAAAAATTCAAAATATTCAGCAAAGTATTTTGAATTGATTTTTATTATTATAATTATATAATTTTTTACAATAGAGGCCTTCTTAAACGACCTTCGTATAGAATAAAGGAAGTTAAATTTAAAAAATATAATAAATTTTTAAAAAATTGTTTAATTTTTTTGGACAGTTAAATTATTGCATTGATATTTGTTCGTTAATACAATCAATGAAATGTACCAAAAACGTTATTATAGAACTATAACTAAGCCATTTATGAGTGCTGAATGGTGTGGTGGAGGCCTGTAGGAACCTATGCCAGTTCCGCTTAAGTGTATTTTCTAAAGAACTGCTTCAAATATTTTAAAAAGTAATCATAGTTTTATAACGAGCAATATATTCTCCAGATGAAAAGTTGACTTCACTGATGTTTTTTAATGTATAAGCCAATTATTTGTGAATATTTTTCATGTTTTCTGACTATCCACCTTCAATAAAAGACCAACTACGACAATTTATAGGGTTGTGGGGGGGAGGTGCACTGTAGGGGGGTCTGGCCCACCTGCAACATCATTATAGATAGAGCCCGACAAGCGTTTTTATTTATCTGAAAGATGTAAAGCGACAGTAGCACATATTTAAACTTCCTTGTTTGATTTCTCTTGAAACCGACAGAAGAAACATGAAAGACAAAAATACTTGCATTGGGAAAAAATATTTAGATATTTGTTTCCATAGTTTAGGAAAATGTCTCGGCGCACCTTGAGAGAAATAACTAGAATGATTCGAAACGGAAAACGTATCCTCGTATAACGTTCCACCGCTGGAACGGTTCCTCTTTGCGGTCGATCTCCAATTCTTTAGCATGCGCAGAAACTGTTTTTAACCTCACTGTAGGAAGGTTATACAGTACTTAAAAGTCGTGTTAGTGTTGGTATTGAGTTATTTCAGTTTAAATTTAAAGGAAATACTATAAGAGTTTACAGTCAATATGTATACCAATAGTTGGGATGAATTTGAAAAAGCAGCACAGAATTTATATTTACAAAATCCAATGCAGGTTAAGGAAAAGATAACAATTACAATTGATATAAAACTTATTACTTCTATATCACAAAAATACATTTTTTTTACAGGTACGATATTCTTTGAAATATTCACATGAAAAAAATTTACTGAAAGTGAAGATGACAGATAACTACAGGGTCAGTCAACTAATTTTTTTTCTACACACTTTACTATTTAAGTGTAGATATTTATATATTTATGTAATATTTTCAGTGTTTACAATACAAAACAGAAATTCAACAGGAACTTAAGAAGATAGAGAAGTTTGTTAACAATTTAATGAGACATATGGCATCAAAAGAAGAATCATGAGGGAACATTCAGTTATGTTTATTTTTGTTTTATATTCTTAAATAACTGATATTTATATAAATATATTTTATAAATAATTTACAAAACTTCTGTTCTTATATTGCTATTCATTGTCTTCCTCCTACCTTATGTTATTTCTTCTGCAATACAAATTAAGAATAAAATGTTTAAAAGTTTATTGTTTGTTATAACATAAGAAGTAAATCTCCTGAGGCAGAACGTTCATGGAGAGGCCTACAAAATTTGTAGTTCCTCTGGACACAATAAAACACACGTCTCTTGTAATCAGCCCTGTCATTGTAAATATTATTGGTTAAACAAGGAAGTCTTTGATAATTTTCAAACACTGAACACAAATCAACAGGTTTTCTCCATTCGTTATGTTCATTTTGTGTAGTCCGGCACAATCTTAGTTTTAAACGACTTTGACTAATTTGTGTTTTAACACATTTGAATATGGGTGGGTTTGCAACCATTCTTAGGGGAGTAACACTATCACCAAATGTGGCATATAACATTTTGTCCACTTCATAAAGCTGTTTTAACTGATCAGGATTGGACCCTTGTTCCTTTTTATACGTACTTCTTGCAGCTACCTGAAACAACAACCAAAATTACATGACATATATATATTTATTAGAATATATGTTTCAGGTATGTAAATATGAGGCTACTATTTTCATATAGAAAAGACACAATTATTACATAACTGTATTAAAAAATATTTTAAACAAAATATTGTCCATTGTTAAATATACAGTTTTCCTAGCAATTCATGAATGCCACAGCAGAAAAACTGTTGTTTTGTGGCAACCCTGTTATCAAGCCATTTTAATAAGAACTGGAGGAGCACTTCTGAGCAAGGGCGAGCTCCATACATGTAAATAAATAAACCATGTAGTTCTTTGGCTGTGAGATAGGGTCTTACAGATGTATCTTACTAATGGGAACACAGATAGCCTGGAGGGGGTATTCAACCTCTTGTTACTACGGATGGGTGGGCAGACTACTCTGTCGATTCCTTTGGGGCCAATCTGGTATTATCCTTCCCACAGACTCACTCGGGTTCAAGGAAATTGACAAACCAGTTTAGATCCATGGATTATGGCTACTTAATTACCAGGTTCACCGGGATCTATATTTCTTTTCCAGAAACAGACAGTCTATGAACCGAACCTCTGGGTGGCTACTGACCACAAGGATAACCAGATTGCAATTCCCACAGTAATGAAATCTGCATTTAGATGCAACATTGAAGAATTTGAAAATTCAAGGAAGGAAACCCTACTTCTGTGAGGATATTTTTTTCTGACGAAGCATTATTAACAAAAAATGAGATATTTAATTTAAGAAATAGTCATAATTGAGAAAATGAAAATCTTCATGCCACAAGACATCTTTGTTGATATACTGAAGTATATAAATGCCCATTTAAAGTAATAACTTATTATTATTAACATTTCTGAAATAATGAAACACTAAACTATTTGGATTGTTTTCACGAGAATGGAAATATTAGGATTATAAAGTAGGAGTAAATTGGTTCGCCTGGTACCATAAGTATCAATAACCATAATTAAGATATTTATAAACAGCACTAATGCATTATCACTTTAGAGATCATTTTTAAATATTTTGTAAAAATATACTCTTCGAATTTCATTTTTCTGTGGTTTGATGCAAATCATCTCAGATTAAAAAAAGAAATAAAAGGTTATACTGATTTATTTAAATTCTATTTTGTTGAAAACACTGGTACTTTGAGGAGACAGAATTTCACCTTACTAAATTTGTGGCAGCAAATTCTAAATGGCATCAAAGCATATTATGTGACGAACCTCAACTTTTTTGATATGGATATAATGCTTTTTAAATAAGGAAGTTTTTCCAGATTTATAGTATTTGTAGTCAAGTTGGAGATTGATATAAAAAGCGAACAATCCAAGCTTTTAGGAAGAACTGAATTTGGATTCTTGAAAGACCACATCAAATGGTTTTAACCAAGAAAAATTCTATTTATAAAATGTATATCTATAGAGAGTAAAAGCAAAAAGAAATTACTCAAAATGTTATCCTTTTGCCTTCACACAGGCATTTAATCTCCGTGGCCAGTCATCAATATCACCACACAGCACTTCTTGAGGAAAGTGTTCAACTGCTCAGACCAGAGATTGTTTGAGGCTTTCCAAGTTAGGGTGTGCTCTGTGGCATGCCATCCTCTCCAGTTTGGACCAAAGCCGATAATCTAGTGGGTTGAGAGCAGGGCTTCCTGAAGACCAATCTGAGGCAGAGAACTCTGGAATGTTCTTTTGCAGCCATTGCTGAGTTGACCTGGCCTCGTGAGCTGGAGCAGAATCCTGCTGGAAAATGCAATGACTTCTAGCAAACAGAATATCATTTAGAGGCTTGACAACAGGTTCCAAAATATCATCTTGATAGTTTTTAGCAGCTGTTTTAACTCTTTTTTCACAAAAATGGAGCTTTGTGGTGCCATAAAAGCAAACTTCCCACCAAACCATCACTGAGGAAGGGTGATGACTTCTTTCCACTCTTCCAATGGCTTCCTGGACTTCTTTAGAGCTGTATGCCTACACATGATAATTTTGGCTATTAAATTTTTCATCAATTGTAAAAATTTTCTCATCACTAAATAAAATTTTTTGATGAAGACCATTGGTGTAACAGCCAAGGAGCACTTTGCATCTATCTACTCTAAATTTATTTAGGGAAGTGGCCTTTATCCTGTCATTCTTCAAAATGCACCCATCCTAAGGTCACTTTTTATTATGCGAGAAATTAATCTGACAGATTTCCATTTCCTGAGACACAATTTGTTTTCGAATGAGATTTCTTCTGATTTGAGCAGCCAATGCCCTCACTGCATTTGCCGTTCTCATAGTGCGGAGACGGCCTGGTCAAGGTCTGTTACATACAGATAGGGTCTCATTATATCTATTTATAGTGCGGTAAACGAACATATGGCTGATATCCAAAGGTTTCAAAGTGTTGAAAATCTCTGACCTACATTTTCCAACTTTGTGTAAGGTGATCACAGCCATTCAATTTTCTTTATAACCCACTCCATGTTAAGTGAGGGAAAGAAAATAACCTGAGAGAGGTAAGGATTATCTAAATAATACCTAAGGATGTAAACAAAGTTCAACTTTTGTAACAGTATTTATGCCAGAACTAGGCAGTACTTACTCATTAACTAAAATTATTTGATGATAAAAAAACTCACTAATATAGCTGCCATTACATGTTGGACCATTATGTTGGTTTTATTAGAGCCAACTTTTGACTCCAGTTGTGGCAGATATCTTTCCATCAACGGCCAAAAATAAAATCCTAATCTTCGTTGCCCAAGAGCTGTCAATGCAACAATAGCACCTAAAATGAAAAAAAAAAAACTAATCATTCACATTAAAAAAAATAAATTTACATAAAAGAACAATTAAGATTAAATATACTTTAATTAGTTAAGTAGTAAATTAATATATTTACACCATAGTATATTTAATATATAAACTAATTTTTCAATGTAAACTGAAGTCTTCTTTAAGCAAGCCTGAACTAGTACTCTCAGGTTTATCTGGTTGCCAGCAACACATATTTGCACTTAAGTTAGTTATCTCGGTTACCGTGCCCCCAAATTACTCCCGATCAGTACTTTTAAAGATGTACTATTACTAGGCCAATGGTTGTACAGGTAGGTGATTTTTTAAAAGGCAAGTAAAGGAGGGATATCCTATGATTTACTAATCATACTATCTGATATGATTTATATGCGCAGATTCAAGCCGACTGTAGTCGTACAATATATAATGATTATTTTTATTTCAGGTAGATGAAATAAAAATAATTTTCATTGGTTACACAATCACCTATATTTCAAGGTAAATATTTTTTCGTTTCGGAATACTATCTTTAGAAGATGTCGTTTTCGAAAAGTAATCTCTCAACATTCACAAATTTTATAACTACGAGTCTCAGAGATCGCAAGTATCATCAGCGAAAAAAAAAATACGAAAGAGTTTCACATTTGTGACTGCGTATATAATCCTTCATGATAAAAAAAAAAAAATCATGAACACAAAAAATGTCTAGTGTACTTTAAATGTACATATTATACTTAGTAGGTATGTTTTCACTGGTAAAAGGATGGAACCAAAATCCATAGAAAAAAATTATTATTTGTAAGGTGTTAACAAAACCGACATTTTCTGGTAGTCAGAACAAAACTAATTTAAGGTGGAATGTAAGAATATGAGTGACGTGAAGGAAGGCTTATGCATATGCATACTTAAAATTTATTGAAACCGACGTGTTACCCCTCAACAATTACTATTTCAAAAAAGTTTCCTCTTACTACTTCGAAGTTTAGAAGGGAAACTACATAGACTGATTTAACATCAAAAGAAATACAATCACAAATAAGACATATTTTTACAACCTCTGAACAAAAATTAATTTAAAGGAAGGAGATGGTCCGGGGTGGCGGTCATAAATAGACTAAATAATGGCAAAATTATTTTATTAAAAGCCAACGTTTCGACCCGACTTTGCCGGTCTTCTTCAGGACTTAAACGGACAAGATACAAAAAGATATAGAGAATTGTGGAAGTCTAGTCTATCTATATCTTTTTGTATCTTGTCCGTTCTAGTCCTAAAGAAGACCTGCAAAGTCGGGTCGAAACGTTGGCTTTTAATAAAATAGTTTTGCCACTACTTAGTCTATTTATGACCGCCACCCCGGACTATCTCCTTCCTTTATAATTCAACTATTTAATATTCAAAAATTAATTTAAACTTACAAATATATATAATTAAGTGTAAATTATGTATATTTTTCTGGACAATAACTCTGTTGAATGTTAAGGGATAACTATACATATAAGTTTATTGCCAAAAGTCATTGAGTAACATTTCATAACATTAAATCACTAAGAACTTTAAAAAAATTTCCCTTTGTGGAAGTAGAAAATTTTGAACTTTTAACTATTTTTGATATATAAAAGGGTTTGAGTCAATTTAATGCACATACTGTATTTCTTTATCAATAAATGAGGTAAAAATTCACAAAACGTGCTTAGAATAGCAGCTCCATCAAAAATGTATTTAGAGACTTCTTTAAATAAATCGACGGTATAGTCCAGTTGATCAAAAATGTGCTATGCGTAACCCTCCTAATCAGTGAAAATTATTTGAAATCTAAGTAAGGACAGCAGATGTCAACCCAGTCCATGAAATCGACAATACAAGACAGTTAAAATTATATTTTTTAATAGACTCTAAAATTGTATAAAACTAACTTCATAAAAACATAATACAAATTTAATCTTGCCGTATGTTCACAGCCATTATATTTTTAATTATTATTTATATAACTTTTAATTGTTAAATGAAACTGATACTAGGGAATTTGTACAATATTCTCCAAATTTCCTCCAACTCTGGGTCAAATTAAATGAGGCGATCTCAAACTATGGGTGAATCAAAAACGATACCTCTGCATATCCGAAAGCAGAAGTATTTTTTGACAGTTGTAGATATAATTTGATGAAATTAATACCTATATAATAATTTATTTATGAATTCCTAATTTCTTCCAACTTTGGACTAAATTGAACATGAGTTTTTTGAGATTTTGGAGTAACAAAGTAAATATGTTTGCTCATACTAAAGGGAAAGTAGTTGTGTGCCAAAGTTTGGCAACTTTGTTCTAGAGATTGGACAGCAGCTAAATTTACTTCACCAAAAGACAAGAGGACACTAATCATAGTGGCAGGTTACCTGCCATATGAGTCGGGAGATCCTGCACAAGGCTTTGAAAATATTATAAATTCCACCAATGAAGACACCCTGATCGGACTTGATGCTAATGCCCATAACATCATATGGGGCAGCAACAATAACAATCCCAGAGGTGAGATATTCTTAGACTTTATTATCCGTAATAACTTACACATACTCAATAGGGGCAAAAAACCTACCTTCTTTTAACAAACTAAGATCAGAGGGCATAGACTGGCCTCTAGTCAGGTCACGTCAAAAGTAGATAACTGGCATGTATCGGATGAGGAAACATGCTCAGACCATAAATATATCAAATTTGACTGTTCTGACAACACTAAAATTATCGAGAAGTGTAGAAACTCAAAGTCTACGGACCGGAAAGAGTACTTCTCGTACCTTCATCAATTCATCTTTAACAGATGCAATTAGAAACTCTTATCTGAGCAGTAATGATATCCAAAAAAGGGTATCTTGGTGGAACAAGGACTTAGAGAGGCAAAGAACACTCACCAGAAGGTTGTTCAATGCCGCAAAAAATATTGCAACTGGGAGGTTTACAGGACCGCCCTCACAGATTATCACATATCTGTGATGAAAGCAAAAAGACTGTTTTGGAGGAACTTCTGCCAAGAAATTGACAATATTCCTATGGCAAGTAGGATTAAAAAAATACTTACTAAACAGAAAGACCAATACTGGTAAACTCAGGGTCAATGGCAAACATACTAGTAATAAGTTTGAAACCATGAGAGGACTGGCAATAGCACACTTTCCTGGATGTAAGACTATGAAAAAGGCTTGTACAGACACTACACTTCCTAGCTATGAATCTAATTGAGAAGTGTGGATTAAGGCAAGAAAAATTGTTAAGGCACATAGACTGGAATTGGCAGTAAACACATCGCCTTCTTGCACATCGGCAGGTTTGGATGACATGTTACCAATACTGATTCAAAAAGGACTTTTAATAATTAAACCCTCTTAGAATTATAAAGGGGCAGTATAGCGTTTGCTTAGCTTCCTACAGAATGGGGAAAATCCAAGCAGTGCTATATTCCTAAACCTGGAAAAGGGATGATCTTGTCATTCAGACCAATATACATGTCATCTTTTCTAATGAAGACACTGGAAAAGATTCTGGGCAGGCATATAAGAGAACAATTAGTGAATTCTAATTCTTTACATTCCAATCAATTTGCATACCAATCTGGTAAATCATCTTGGAAAATCCATGAATCAGAAGGAAATAATGATTGGTACCTTCGTAGATATAGAAGGTGCCTTCGATAGGACTCCTTACAAAATTATCATGGATACTTTAAGGACAAGAAAAATAGATACACTTGTCAACAAATGGATTGGTAACATGTTGGATAAAAGAACTCTCAAAACCAAACTAGTACACGCCGTAATGTGGATCAAACCTGAGGGAGGATATCCACAGAGAAGTGTGCTCTCTCCATTACTGTGGTGCTTGATGGTGGACTCCTTGCTCTTAAAACTAAACACTGCAGGCTTTTATGCACAAGGATGTGTGAATGACATCACTATTCTCATAGGTGGAAAATATAAGAAGATTCTGACTATTCGGCATTGATAGGGTGATTGATCCCAAGGCAAACGAGCTCATCAATCCAACAAGCTTATAACAGTTCACTAAGACTGCAGGAATTACGCTCTAAATAGTGACTTTTAAAAGTCACTATTAAAGTGACTTTAATAGGTATACAATAGGCCTTTATGGCCGCAGTGCATTCATGCAGCATAAAAAAAAAAGTAGTGGATGGAATTCAACAAAGTTGATACATCACCATTTTTTTCTGAAATATTGGCATATTTTAGAAATTATATTTGCGTGTTTCTAAGTAGATTGAATTGGATAAAACTGATATGGGACAATCTATACACAATCCCTAAAAATTAGATAAATGGTAGGTGATATTCTCGAATTTTCCTACAGACTGACATATACCGAACCAAATTTGATTCTTGATATCTGAAATGCAAAACGCAACTGGAAATGTTCGGTTATGAGCAAACAAAATTTTTTTAAACCTTTTGCATAAATATAAAACTTCTCTACCTTTGGTAGTGAGGAAGCAAAGGCCAAGAAAGTAGATTGGAACTGAATCATGAACCATATGCAGAAAAATTCATGCTTCCACCATCTATTCTCACTTTTTTTCACAAACCATAGCAAATAGGCACCCTAACACGATTAGCCAGCAGCTAATGAGAAACAAGACATTCAACTGTGTACATGCAACAGAATATCTTGACTATTTACATGTACTGTTTTTACACGTCTCCAGGCAGTTCTTCTTCATGTATCCTCATCACTCAATTAATCAATTTTGAATCTAAGAGTGAAGCCTTTAACAATTTAGTTGCATTTGTCTGAAAGTTGATATTTAACAATACAAACCATAGTGAGATTGAAGAGGAACATCAGGATCCAAAAGGTGATGAAGAAGATGTCTCACTATATCTATTTGTTGCTTTAGCTCAATACTCCACATAATCACCACCTGAACAATTATAAATGGAATAAATTAACAGAAGTATTTTTAGTCATTTCATCAATTTATAATTGTAGGAAATAAAAATGATAAAATAAGTAGAACAACCCAGACCTTGGCAAGAAGAAGACCAGCTCTCATTCTTACAGCTAAATCATCATCTTTGTCAACATAGTCATCTCCAACTTTGTCAACATTTCCTTCTATAACTATTTTTAATAGTGAATTTACAGCCCGATTAACCTTGAAATTAAAAAAAAAAAAACATCGTAAATTTACGAAAAATAAAACTAATTGTAGAATAAAATAAAATATATTTCAATACTCACAGCTAAATATGGGCTTGGATCTACAAATTTGTTATGAGCAATTGCATGGACAGTGCCGATCAATGCATTAGTTAAATGAGTATCACGAGGAACTTTTTTTACAGTTAAAGCAACAAGGTTTAAAAAATAAGGACACACAGGGCCAATTTTCGGATTTGTTCTCAGATCACTTAGAGCCACCTGAAATATTTATTTAGTTTTTACAAGCAATACTATTCACAAGGTCTTAATTTCCAATTCATTTCATAAATTAAAATCACCCTAATATGTGCTGGACTTCCAGTCATAATAGTTTTAGCAATTTGTTGATAATATGTACAAGTTGTAACAATAGAGGGATCTTCAGAGTAACCTTCTGGCATAACCCATGCTCCTAAAACATGAAATGGTAATTATAAATCATAATATGGATATAATAAAGTCATGATGTCATTTAAAAAAAAAAAAACATACATTCATTCCATCAATTCCATATCTTAGGGCTGAGAAAAAAACAAAAAAGTTTATGAAATAAAATTACCACGGATGTATGGATCTCCTTTTTGGGTATAATTATTATCTGAAAGAGCATCATGAAGAATGTCAAATTCTGGATCTTCTTCAATGAAAATATCAGATTTGGGAACATGAATGAAATTGACATCATCATTAGAATTGTGACCATACAACTCTAAACCTCCAAGAAGTTTCATGGCTTTTTTAACATCATTTGTAGTCAAAGTAGATCTCTTGTTTTGATTCAAAATCAACTTGGACATCTGTAAACAATGATGATTAACATCTTCAAATGAAAACACTCCTGCTAATTAAATAACTACAACTTACATAAATCAATTCCTTTGTTTTATAATACAGTTCTTCAGCAATATGCTTGCAAACATCATCACTAATTGAAGAAATGCCTATAGAAGAAGCAGTTATTGATATGGATCTACTGCTAAACATTCTATACTCTTCTTTGACATTTTCATCTTCATCTCCACCTGAATCTGTATGATTAGAAAGCATATCATTTCTGTTTTCAAATGTATTAATCTCATTTGAAATGCTACTTTCTGAATTATCCATGGGAAATCCCGATGGGTAAAGTAACCTGCCCGGACATTTATTTACCATCAATGAACTACTGGTGTAATTAATATCGAATGAAGTATCGATATATTGTTAGCAATGGCAAGTTGCTATTGCTAAACTACACTCAGTGTTGATCTCATCAATGGCATCTGATTTGCTCTTCAATTAGGTGAAACAATTGCATCGATGAGATCAGCGCTGAATTTAAGAACTTGCCCGAAGGGATTTCTTAATACGGCGAAAAAATAATTCTCTCATTTAAAGAATATTGCTATTTTGAAGTGAACAAGGTACCCATGTTTTAAAACTGACCCTAAACGGTCAGCCAAGAATGGCAGTCTTGAGATCAAATTACGGAATTTGTCTGAAGAGATTTCTGAATATAATGACTTCAATTTCATAAATTCAGCGGTAACCTCATCGGATGTGTCTCTGAACTAATTGAAACTATGTCATCGGTAACTCTAGCGCTGAGTTAAGTAAATAGCCAAGGTTTTTTACCCGTAGTTCTGTATTGGTCGATGCACTAGTGTATAGGTGGAGAATATTTTTATTAATAAAGGCGGCAGTAAGATTAAGCAGAGCTGATACTAGTAAGGGGGGAGGGTTAAGTTCGGCAAGTGGACCTATTGCTCCTTTTTGCCAACCCTTACGACACCAATGGTGGTCTAATACACCTCAATCTCAAGATATATGATAGAACTACCAGGTTCGCTCACTCAGAAATGTGTGGTTGGGGGGACTTGAGTTGTGACGTAAGGACTAGACCTACTTATTGATCTCAAACCTATCACTGAAGGTTTATTTCAGTATTGGTTTTTTTTTTTTTGGTTTTCTGATTTAATTTATTTAAAAGAATGCTTGTCTGTGTTTTTGACGTTTGATTGAAGACGATTTCAAGTAGACAAATAAATAAATACGATTAGCAACCTAGAATAAAATACTATAAAAAAACAGGCTAGACCTGAAACAAAATGAACGAAATTGATATTAAAATTATTTTTAAATTCTTTATTCTAACATCGCTTACTGTAAATATCATAAAAATATATTACATAAATACAAAAAATTAAGATTTGTATTTATTCAGAGAAACTAAAGAACCTTGTAGCATAATTTTGTTTGTGTCGCTGATTTAGCACGAGCCAGATACCTATCCTTTCATGATAAACTCTAGTCCCATCCGAATCCACTTGTTTCCAGCCTTGCTTCTTCCTCGATTCCTGATAATCCCCCAAGGCGTCTGAAAAGAAGATGGCCTCGTTATCTTCTCACCTAGAATTAAATAGGGAGTGCTACCACTGGGCATTATCTCTTCAAGTCTGTTCACGTCATTATTTCTAATGTGTGCATTTTTACTAGTTGTGTCGTTTATACAGTTGTAAATTTCATTAAATAAATACAAAAAATTTGTTTGTAGATTCCGTTGGTATTTCTTTTAATAATACAACGATGAAGTTTGCCAGGATTTGTAGTCAAAATTTCTTTAAATAAAATATTTAAAAACTTTTTTTTTAATTTAGAAAATACTTTTTTTAACACCTTCAGTGCCAGAAACACGCCCTGATAATGACTGACATGCTTGGGATGAAACGTCGGCACCAATAAAAACCTTAAAAATGACTGCATCCTGACTACATATTACCCATGATATGTAGAAAAGTCGACTAACTTCCATCAATAGTTTGTAGTTGTTAATATTTTTTTATAATGAGATAACTACTAATGGAATCTTATAGAATGTCCCGGGTACAAGGTGTACAGTTACTTCTTGTAACGATGATATAATAAAAAAATACAAAAATCCAATACTGTAAAAAAATTGTCTAATTGTTTTCTTAGAAAAGATAATGCAGAAGATAAAACTATAATAAAATTGTAATGCTGCTCAGCTGTGTTGAGTCGCTGACACAGCATGCTAATCCATCTAATTGAAGAAGAGTTAGTAAGGGGTATTTCAATAATGAGTATTTAAATAATAAATAATAATAAGGCTTAGCGAACCCGAAGGTTCGATGCCGACACCACCAATCGCTTGTTACACACCTCCCTCCACCGTTCGCCGTCCAAACCCAGTCCCTTCATATCGGCTTTAATGCAATCTTCCTACCTTCGCTTCGGTCTACCCCTCGGACGCTTACCATTCGGCACAGCAAATATTAACCTTTTAGGAATTCTCTCGTTACTAAGCCCAACAACTTTACAAGCCCATTTGATTCGCCGCGATGAAATTGCCTCAATTATATTACCCGGATACAGCTCACGCAATTCGGCGTTGTGTAACCGTCTGAACTCTCCGGTTAACTCATCCTTCTTCGGTCCGAATATTTTACGCAATACTTTATTTTCAAAAACCTTAAGACGCTGCTCATCCCTTAATGTAAGCGGCCAAGTTTCGCATCCATAAAGAACTGTAGGCAAGATAATTATTTTATAGATTCTAATTTTTAAGTTTCGGGACAAGAGGCGCGAACTGAGTAGTTTTGTCACAGAAAAATAACAAGCATTCCCCGCCTTCAGTCTAACCTTAATCTCTTCTTCAATTTCGTTTTTCCTAGTTATCGTAGAACCTAGATACCTAAATTTATCTACCTGTTCAAACATATTACCATCTATATCGATATCACCAGTAGTATCGCCATTTTTGCAGCTAACCATATATTTTGTTTTATCCACGTTTATTTCGAGTCCTAGTTCTTTACCGGCTTTCATTAACGTTGTCGTATTTAGTTTTATAGTTTCAACGTCTTCGCTTAACAGTACCAGATCATCAACATAGCCCAGCACGGATGTTGTCCCGCCCATATCCAACCCTTTCTCGGTTCGCATTACCTCCCTAATGGCATGTTCTAATGCCAAATTGAACAGGACAGGCGAAAGAGAATCCCCCTGTTTTAAGCCCGAACGAACCTCAAATTTTTCGGACAAATTATTACCGATTCTAACTTTATTGAGTGTCTCCGTCAAGCACATCCTGACTAGATTTACTAGTTTTTTTGGAATCCCCTGCTCGATTAGAATATTATACAGTTTCTGGTGGTCAATGGAATCGTAAGCCTTTTTAAAATCTATATACAGCTGGTGAACAATACCGTTATACTCCAATTTTTTCTCTAATATTTGCCGTAAAGAAAATATTTGATCAATTGTCGAACGATTCCGTCTAAATCCGCATTGGTAGTCTCCGATAATTTCCTCGGCGTATTCCGTGATTCGACTGGTTAAGATTAAAGTGAATATTTTATAACATACCGGAAGGAGTGAAATTCCTCGATAGTTATTAAAATCCGTCCTCGGACCCTTTTTGTGAATCGGAATAAGAATAGATTCTTTCGATTCTTCAGGTAATTTCAAGTTCACCCAGATATTTTTAACCAACCGATGTATTTTAGAAACTCCAGCTTCCCCGCATGCCTTAATTAGTTCAGTAGGAATATTATCGATTCCCGCTGCTTTATATGATTTTAATTTTCCGATAGCTACTTCAACTTCCTCTTTACTTGGTCCTTCTATTAACGGTTCAGCACTCTGGTACTCAGAAGGAGGACACAGATCATAATTTCCCGTATTTAAAATATTGTCAAAGTGGTCCTTAAACTTATTCAATATGTCAACCGGATCGGTCAGAATATTGTTATTATCATCCCTAATTCCAGACGTTACGGGCCCTACATATTTACGTGATCTGTTTATACCTTTGTACATGTCTCTTACGTTATTTTCGATTCTATTAGTTTCTATTTCAATTATTTTATTTTTAAGATACTCCCTTTTTTTATTTTTGAGCAATTTTGTCGTTTCGTTCTTTGAGATTCGGAAGTATTCCAGATTGTCTTCGCTAGGATTATTTAGAGCTTTTAATTTAGCGGCTTTTCTTTTTTCACACATGTTTAAGCAATCTTCATCAAACCACGGTTTGTTATTCTTATTTTCCTTTTTTCCTAGACACGAGTTACCGACCGCTTTAATATTATCTCTGATCTCTATCCATAACTTGTCAATATCCTCGTGGTCCTCGTCAGGAAGCTCTAAAGCTTCAAACCTATTCTTAACATCTACCTCGAATTGGTTTCTAATTGATGGATTTTTTAATTTTTCCAAATTAAAATTCTCAAAATCGAAACGGTTTTCTTTTCTCTTTTTTATATTAAGTTTTTGTCGAAGTTTCGCGATTACTAATTCATGATACGACTCACATTCTGCTCCGCGATAAGACCGTACATTAATTATACTGCTTTGCCAGCTGTGTTGTATCAAGACATGATCGATTTGATTTCGTGTTTGCGAATCCGGTGATGTCCAAGTATATTTATGAATATCCTTATGTTTAAACGTCGTACTTTTAATTATCAGGTTTTTCGAGATGGCAAAGTTTATCAGACGGATCCCATTATCATTACTATATTCGTGCAAACTTTCTTTACCAATCGTCGGAATATAAACTTCTTCCCTTCCTACCTTTGCGTTCGCGTCACCTACAATTATTTTCATGTAGTTTCGCGGTAGTTTATCATAAACCCATTCGAGTTTATCGTAAAATTCACTTTTGACTTCATCGTCACTGTCTTCGGTCGGACAATGTATGTTTATTGATGCGATTTTAAACCAACGTCCCTGAAATGTAGCTACCGAAATTCTATCACTAAAGAATTGTACGTCCCTCAAAGCGGATAGTAATCTACTCCTAATTAGAAACCCGGTACCTAAACAATGATTCCCGCTTCCTATGTACCAAATAGTGTACTTCCCTTCCCTCATCGAGCCCTCCCCTGGCCAGCGAACCTCTTGCAGAGCCACGACATCCTAATTGTACCCATTTACCTCATTCGCGACCGATTTTAGCCCCCTGCTGTGTTTAAACTCCTTACGTTCCACGTACCAATATTTAAATCCCTATATTTCAACTTGCGCCATGAATCCCCTAAAGCAGTCCCCACCCGGAGACCCGAACGGGGGACTAGTTTACCTCCGGATAATGAACGTTTTACCTTAGGAAGATCCATGACTTTTTGTGGTGTTTGGTGAACTAAAGATATGTGAGTAGGGCGTTCAATCCTACGTCACACACTTCAGCAAGTCTGGTGGACCCCTACCACCAGCAAGTCTGGAAGTCCCCTCCCTCCAGCAAGTCTGGAGGGCCCCTCTCATTGTTGGTCAGCGAGTCCATCGGACTTAGCCGGGAGGAACTTCCAAGGAATTTCCACCGACCATCCCCACATCCGCCACCCGTGGGACGCTGCCCATACTGAGCCCGCGCGAGGCAATAATGAGTATTTATTAGAAAAAAAAATTAAATGCCCAAAGAATATTTCACCAATTAAGACCAAACACAAAAATCACTAAATAAGATTACTTATGACATAGAAATGTCATATTTACAAACATTCATAGAAAGAAAACGCTTCTTTAATTTTGAATTAAATGCTTTTTTTTTAAATAGTTCTATTATTTAACATTATGTTTTATATTTATTGGAAATATTTAAAAAAAAAAGGATTAAAAAAACATACAACATCGACTTGTTCAATTATAATTTATTTGCTTCAGAATAAACAAAATAGCAAATGAAACTTTCTCACACTTTTAAATGTATTAAAATTAATAAATTGGTAAGATATTATACGTTAAAATATTGAATTAATGTAGAAAGTTAAACAATAATCTATCCGACCTTATCGAGAAACAAAGGCCGAGGGATAATATCGGTCTAGTGGTTACGTCAGAGCTTAATTCCTCCCCACCATTTTCCCTTGGAGTGAGCGAACTTGGTAGTTTTATAGACTTTCCTTTATCTCTATTTTAAACCATTTCGTTCTTATAATGAAGTTTAAAAGGCAGAGCCATTTTATGGAGAAAGCTTCCTATTCTCGCATTCTGGCCAAATTCAGAAACCTGTATCAGAGCGACACAAATCGACTAAAATGTGAACAAATTCTGTTATATAGTGCAGGGCAGATTCCGGTTTATTGAAAGCTCGATAGTTCACTTCCTGTTGGTTTTAGAAAATATTTTCTGGTAATGTTGGGTTATTATAAAATTTTTGAAGTGCATTTTAAACGGAGGAAAAGCTTACAGATAACAAATCATTAAGTCCATTCAAATTACAAAAACTCTATTTATTACATCGATGGTAGATAATAAAAATCTAGTTACTCCGTCTGTTTTTATAAACCATACAACTTCAGTCACTGAGCCTTTCAGTTCACAGAATGACTAACTCCAATTTCAACATTTTTGAGTAATGTCATTTTAGTGATACTTCTAGTTGAAAAAGTTATATCTATACAGACAGTGAGTAAATTGATTCCAGAGTAGGTGATTGCAGTGTTGAAATATAGAACTGTGAATAAAGGTAGGATCCGTTGATTATGGATTGTACGACTATCAGTAATTAAAATGTTATTTTCCATTGTAAAGTTTAAAATCCCAACATTATCCATTTACAATTAGTGCGACAACTTTTGGCCTATCCATGGCAGGCAATGAAAATCTCATAATTTCATTTTAGTAAACTTTATAATGGAAAATAACAGTTTAATAACGGTTTAACAGTTTAATAAATAATAGTCCTACAATTCATAATCATTTATAGATTAAATATTCAGATATACTTTCAAACCTGTTTAGGTATATATGAGCATTTCGGTTGACGGAATGATTAATCCCAATTTTAACATTCTTTATTATTAATTTTAGTGATGTTTCTAGTTACAAAATCTATATCTTTGTTCACATTTCTATATTTCAACACTGCAATCACTTATAAAATTAAATTAGTGAAAAAATGAATTTTCCCCTTGTGAAATACCAACATTGTCCACTTACTATTAGCGAGACAACTTTTGACCTATCCATGGCAGGCAATGAAAATCTCGTAATTTCATTTTAGTAAACTTTACAATGGAAAATAACAGTTTAATTACTAATAGTCGTACAATACATAATCAACGGATCGTACCTTTATTCACAGTTCTATATTTCAACACTAGCTATCACTTACTCTGGAATCAACTTACGCACTCTCTGTATAGATACAACTTTTCCAACTAGAAATATGACTAAAATGAAATTACTCAAAAATGTTGAAATAGGAGTTAGTCATTGTGTCAACTGAAAGGCTTAGAGACTGAAGTTGTCTGGTTTATAAAAACAGATGAAATAACTAGATTTTTATTGCCTACCGTCGATATAATAAATAGTATTTTTGTTATTTTAATGGTATTTCTGATTTGATAGCTGTAAGTTTTGAGCTTTACCTCCGTTTGAAATGCACCTCAAAAATTTTATAATAGCCCAACATTACCAGAAAATATTTTCTAAAACCAACAGGAAGTGAACTATCGAGCTTTCAATGCACCGGAATCTGATCTAAAGTAGAGCGAAAAGTGGAAGTTGTGTGTTGAGTGCACCAGATATTTTATATTCACTACACGGGCGGATCTACGGGGGAGGGGGGGAGCTTTCGTGCTGAAGCCCTCTCCCAAAATGGTAATATATAACCACGTTTTATCGAAAAAAAAAATGAAAAAAGTATGTCTTAAAGTATTATTGTTCGTGTAATTAATATTAAAAGAGCTTTAGGAATCACTTAAACACAATTTCATACAGGTTGTTAGTTTCTTTCTTTTTTTCTAAAGTTATTATCGTTATTTTTATGAAAAAAAAGCTTTCGGGCTGAAGCCCCCCCAAATTAAATCCTGGATCCACTAGTGTTTCACTACACACATAACAATGTAAAAAAGAAATTTGAATTACACAACTTTTTTCAAGTTAGACCCCGTATTTTTTGTGCTAATCTGACACTAAGAATATTATAGTTATAGAATTTATCACGGATACGGATGAGACATCTTCGCGGACTAATGACCTTAAGTCGAATTACAAGTTGCCTACAGGTATCTCTCACATCAAACCCAGTGCCACACATGAAGCCTGTCATATGAAATGCTTTTCCTTTTCAAAGATTC